TACAAACTAAACCTTATAAAGCTTTGAGTTTAGATTAAATTAATTGACACATCAATTAATCGAAGGGAAATCCTTTAAGTTATGAGAAATATTCTAAATAGAAATTCATATCCTTCCTTTTCATCAATAAATACCTTTATAGCTTAGAGTTGGGTTCCTCATTTTAGGAAATACCCGATGCGTGGACAACTTTAGAAGAAACATCTTAATTAATTCTATAAATAGCATGTTATGCATATAACGTTCTTGAGTATTACTATCACACATTACTCTTCCATACCTTATTTCCCTCAAGTTACTGAGAAATTATTAAATTGTATAAACAAAATAATATACCTGTTAAAATTGCTGTTAAGAATGCAAAATATGTTAGATATTTGTTCTATAAACTAAAAAAACACCCTTGTCCACTTTGGAAAAGTTAACACATTTTATAAACTTCCATGCGCTAATGCGATTTATGTTAACATAGGACAATCTCGGTAGTAGATTCATTAAAAAGGGTCGTCTAATTCACATGTTTCGCGAATTTTAATTTATCGAAACACACTGGTGCACCTAGCACAACATGCGATAAATACTAACATGAAGTGGATTTTAATGAAGGTGAAGATCCTTGCCATCTGAAACGCAATCTAGCTAAAAGACAGTTTTTGGAAATGTGTTCAATATTAACACACCCTAATTGCATTGAATAAGGGAAAAAATAAAATGACATAAGTAACTTGAGCCAAAATTATATCATGCTTTAATTTTGCCAGTATTAGGCAACTTAATCCTTGTCACTACGATTATGTCATTTTAGGTGTCATAGTTGTAACTTTTTCTCATTTTTATTTAATACAATTTATTTTAACATAAATAGAATAATTTAATAAAATATCAATAAATAACCTTAATTTCTTTACTTAAAATTAATATTACATATGCAACCCAATTGCATTCATACGTAATTTACTTGAATTAGTGTTTCAATGTTACATTAAAATAATACAAATATTGTAGAATTGATTCATTAGAATCCTTTTTGGCCTAATCCACTGCTTCCAAAGTATACATGAAAACCTTGGGGCTGTTTGGAAAAATTATATGGATGCGTTAACCTCCTGTGGACTATTGATTAACTAGCCTTAATGGATTAACGGTCCATTACATAACTTATGAGCGTTTGAATGAAAATCTCCTGTTTGTTAATCTGCGGCTGATTAGTGAAGAGGGAGTTGCTGTTTACCACTGTAACCTGTCTTCTTGTCACTGTGTTTGTCGTCTTTGCAAAATCGGGTAGTGCATCCTTAACTCCCATGTTAAAAACTTTTTAAATGGGGGGGGAACCGCCCAGTATTTGGGGTTGGGTACCTCCCACCTTGCTAGATCTGTAAACAAAAGTTATTTTTTTGACCTCAAGGTTGGCTGTTCTTTTCGCGGTTTAGGTTCGTTCCCGGTTTCCATCTAAACGCCATTTTTCCGGGCGGGGGGACACTTGTCATTGGGCTTTGATTCGGGTCAACCTTCTATTTACACTACTTTTTATCATTGTCTATTAATTTCCACTTAAATCATAAAGGCTACCTAAAGTTAAAATTCAAAGCTTAATAAAATTCATTAAAAATATTAGTTGGAATAAGTTAATTTATGATTTTTTCTTGGTCTATCTCACTACTTAAATTAACATTAAAAATAACAATTGTAATTTATCTTCAGACACACTCCAGGGTCATTTTTGCTGTGCTAATTTTTTACAAGGTTTCTTATTTGCTTGTTAGTTGCTTAACTTGTTTATACAAATAAGCTAGCAGTATTTTGTCCCTTTGTACTTAGTTTTCATCTCATCACCATTGTATTGTTAAATAAACATTGACTGCTAACATGATCTTTTTTAACGGTAACAATTATACATTCGTTTCCATTGATTGTGTGGTTCTCCTATTGTACTAAAATTTTTTTAGGAGGAACCTTATGTTGCTTTTCAAAAACTTCGAGAAAAAGCGAATAACATCGTCTTCTAAAATTAGATTTAATGTTGGCCTATCAACTTTGTCTTTTTATTTCGTCTACCTAGTGGGACCGATATTAGAACCCCACCTACTCGTCTGGAGTTGATCCTTATTATTATATATTATAATTATATATTTATGATATATTATATATATTATATATATATATATTATATATTATTTACTATATTTATATATATATTTATATATTTATATTTATATATATATATATATATATATATATATTTATTTTATATATTTTATATATATAGTGCGTATGTGCTTTCTGTGATATCAGGTTTCAAGTTTAAGGTGCGGACACGCTGATAAATATGAGTGTACTCGAAGTATAGGTACTAACTGAGGGGAAGAACATGTTGGGGCGGCCTACTTGTTGTTTGATGTTAAGAATGCATTCAATACGCTGCAGTGAAACGAGGTAATGAAGGCAATGAAGGAGAGAGAATGTCCTTGTTACCTGATGAATGTGGATGGCGTGATATCTGTTCGGGCGAAGAGTTATGGTAGAATAGGGCACGATCGTGGACGTGACAAACGGGGTACCCCAGGGATCTATCTTGGGCCCGACGTTATGGAACCTGGCATATAATGGGGTTATGCACTGTAAATACGGAGAGGATACAACCCCCTTTGCATTAGCGGATGACCTCGCTGTACTGGTTGTGGCCCGGGATAAGCCAGATCATAAATACCGGTTTCGGAACGCAGGTTGCATTGTAATGAAATGGATGACTCCTCACGGACTGAAACTTGCGACAGAGAAAACCGAAGCCATCATTCTGAAGCGGACAAGGAACAGGAAAAGTATTGAATTACAATGTGTGGGAGCATGTTTAACACACAAGAAACAAGTAAAGTACCTAGTAGTGACATTGCACCAGACTAGAAATTGAGGAGAGCATGTGCGGAGAGGTAGTCTGGAAGGCTGCGAATAGTTGGGCTGCGTTGGGGAGGGTCATGCCCAACATTATGGTACCCAAATTCGAATGAGGAGGGTCTTACAAGGTGTTGTACGGTCGGTCGTCCTCTAGGCGGTACCAGTCTGGAGCGAGGCGGTAGAGATAACGGCTATAAGACTCATGACACGAGTGAACAGAAGTGAACAGAACAGAACAGAAGTGAACAATTCTGTTGCCAGTGGCATGCGCCTACAGGACTTTGTCTGTGGCAGCCTTGTGGACCATCACTGGATGTGTTTCGTTGTATGTTTTGGCGGTGGAAAGAAAAGAACTCTATGAGAGAAGAGACCCAAACTTTATGACTGTGGCCAGGAAAAGACAGAAAGGAAAGGCATTGAAGGTGGCAAGAAGGATAACCGAATGTGACTGGACGAAAATGCTAATCCCGAACATAAGAGATTGGGTGGACTGTGGCCACAGGCGAAATTATTTTCTGACGCAGGTGCTCACACGATACGGATGTCTAGGGCCTACCTCTTTAGGATTAGAAAGCTGAGAGACGAATGCTTTTAGTGGATGAATGCTTATATTAAAATACGTTTATTGACGTTTCAATTTTCACTTCATTTTTCCGAAGTGGAAATTGAAACGTTAATAAACGTATTTTAACCTTTAATTGTGGCTTATTTCCATTTAAATGGTAATTACTTTAAAGTGCCTAAAGAAAATAGCTTCAGAACAATACAGAAGATTATTTGTTTCCTGGTATATGAAACTTGTTTTTTGTTGTTGTTGTGTTGTGCTATTTATTTACCTTCTTCTTTTTTGTGTATTTTCTAACACTTTCATTAGAGTTTCAGTAAATATCATGTTTATTTCATCTATATGTTTGTGTTCTATATCTTCCTTGGTCGGCAATATTTCCTTTATTCTCTTTTCGTACGTCTGTTGTTCTCGTTTTAGTTTCTTCATGTCTAATTTCTGATTATTTTCCATTTTCTTTTTTGTTTCAATTCTATTATCAATGATCAGCTTGGCTCGGACTAGTCTATGATCGCTACCAGTTGAAAAGCGATATAGGGCTGTTACGTCTTTAACCATGGATTTTTGCGTTGAAAAAATAAATTCAATTTCGTTTTTAGTTTCACCATTGGGACTAATCCATGTCCATTTTCTTTGGGGTTTTTTCTTAAAGAATGTATTCATTGCATATAGTTCCTTCTCCTCCAAGTAATTCATCAATGTGTTCTCTATCATTTCTTTTGCCGTATCCATGGTGTTCTACTTTGTCTTCTTCTTTATATATTTGTTCTCCTATTTTGGCATTGAAGTCCCGATTATTAGCGTTAATTTTAATTTCTTTTCTTCCATAGCTGTTGTTATGTCTTCGTAGAAATGTTCAATATCTTCATCACTGTAGTGATTTGTTGGAGCGTACACCTATATGATTTTTAAGGACGTTTAACATGTTACGTCATTTACAAATTTTTTATTACCTATTGTTTTATTTGTCATCTGTGGTATATTTTAATGTCGTATTGTATCATACAATATATAAAATAAGTTTAGTGGTTTGAGCCAGTTCAGCTGACATTGACTTCGGACCCCAGCAGACTAAATTAGTAATTGGACAAAACTCTTGTGTTGGGTATACTGTTTTCTTATATTTACATAGCAATTTTGATAATTTATTCATATTTATGTTACTTTCAGTTTATACTATGTTATATTTTATTTGCAGAGATGAGAAAAGATGAGGGGTTTTCAGAAGGAGCAGGCTAATTTGCTTATCCTGCATGATAAGGTATATACAGATATAAACTCGAAAATTTAAATACCAAAGACGAAAAAAACCTGGTAGAAGATATAACTGACTAGTAAATACTATTTATATGGGTATAAGCCATTATTAAAGGTTAAAGTACGTTTATTGATGTTTCAATTTCCACTTCATAAATCGTTCTCAAAATACAAACATTAGCGTCTGTATTTTGAGAACAAATGACTACTTTGTGGTCCAATGCTATAACATATGGCTTTTATTTCATATTTTGTATTTTACATTATTATATATTAATATATTTACCTCTGGGTCTGTAAATCCCCAACCCGCAGTAATAACTGGTGTTCCATTTGGTACGTGAAGGTCGTGTTTTGGTAGACGAATAGGTTGAATTTTGGGTGAAAATACAACTTTTTCTGTCAACTGAAATTAATAAATTTATTAAATAATTTTAAAACAAAGCACAAACGTTGTTGTTAGTATAAAAACAACATACCATAGGTAAGGAAAAAAGAACAAAAGGAATATTTTATAACAAGTTTTACGAGAAAAATAAAAGAACGAATGTGTAGGCAAATCCACAAAATGGTGTTGTTTGGAGAGCATAGGAGGATCTCAATGCTACATTTTGATTATTAAATTTTGGAGAAGATATTGGAATGAAACCAAATCCTTCTACTCTTTAATTAAAAACTTACAATGAAAGAGTGAATATTAACGACGTAGATGGAACAATAAGATATTAAGGCATATCTGTGATATTGTTTATGTGGAGAATAAGTAACATTCAGCCAAGCAGCTAAGATAAGTTGACGTTGTGAAAATCAAAACATTTACAGCAATATGGATAAGAGAAGTAAAAATAATAAACCATAGTCCTTTATCCGTCAGTCAACACTACTTTTAAGCCACAGGAGCAGAATATATTAAAAGAGATTTTATTTTCGTTATATCGACGGTATTCAAGAAGTTTTTACTCGCTCCAGAATTATTTGTACGAAAACAGATAGTTGCTTAGGTCCTGGGCCACTATGGTCCTTAGCACTGTTACTGTGAAAGAATCTTTGGGTATTCCGCTCACAAAAATAGAATCTGTGTATATTACTGTTAATGAAATATGTGAAAGTATGGTCAAGTTCTATGAAGAGAACATGAGAGATTAAAAATAAATTTAAATTTGTTTTTGTTTCAACATTATGTGTGGCATATTTTCTGACACATATATCGTTATTGTAATTAAATTAAAAATACAATACAATCTCCAAACGGGCCATAAAAAATGCATTGGGAAATTCTACCCAGTAAGCACAAGTACGTACATAAGACAAACTAAGTACGTACTGATGGGACATAAAGTATGTACAATGTACGTACTTTGCTGTACGAAGTACGTACTTAATACATACATAAAACGTACATTTTCCAAATTATGGTACGTACCTAGTACGTACTGAAGGTACGTACCTAGTACATATTGAAGGTATGTACTTAGTACATACTACATATACATATTATGTACATACTATACACGCTTATGATGATTTATGTAAATAAAAGTAAATATAGGTGATTATTATTTTTTTTAAATAATTCAATTTTTACATATTCTTTTAAAAATAAGAAAGTTTTTAAGCAATCCCCGACTATTCTCCACCATCGTCCAATTTCTTGCTTTGCCACTTTCTTATTACTACATTTTTGACACAAAAAATACTCGACTGAATAAAGTAATATGAAACCACACTATAAGCACCAAACACCAAAAATAAGTAAAAAAAAATCTAAATGAAACTGTCTTGCAATGAATTATGACATCACAACTGTACTCGAGGTGGAAAATTCCTAACTAAATAAATTAGGTTAACATAACCTAACATATTAAATATGCTTTAACTCTTCTTTCTCATGGTACATACTTAAGACGTAATAGTACGTAAAATATGTATTAAAAAAAATGTTAAAATTGTTCTAGGAATAATAAATTATTTCAAAATTTTGTAAAAATATAATACATTTTTCAGACCACCCCAGTCAGGCCACACGAGGTACAAGACTATGTATGACATGTTGTGTTTGATCATATTGATGATTTTGTTATTTTACAATATTTGAATTGTCAATTATTTTTTATTTTGTGAATAAATTATACACAAATACTAAAATATGCAATTTTTTACAAATATTACTACTACTAGTCTAATGTTGTTTACAAAGCAATAAAATTGATGAAATGTATTCAGTTCATATGAACCGAATTTATTCCTTTTTAAAATTTTTAAGGCATAATATTGTTTGTACAGGTACAATTAGAAATCACGGTCCCATTAATTTTAAAATTTTGTAAAATCCATTGAATTGTTGAATGACTTTGAATTGGTCTATTGGAATATCTTACGCTAAATAAATAACTGACAATTCGCGCACCATTGTCTGAATAAAACATTTTTATTATTGCTAGTTTCTCCTCAACTGAATACATTGTTTTATTAACTATAGGTATTATTTTTTAAACAATAAATCACAAAATTAAAATTTTGGAAATTTAAATATTGTCAAATATCAGAAACATAAATATGACCTAACGCAACATGTCATACACATTCTTGTACCTCGTGCGGTCTGAATTTAAGGGTTGGCCTGAATAAGCTTTTATATTTTTACAACATTTTGGATAAGTACATGTAATTCTTAGAACAATTTTAATTTTTGTTTTTAATACATATTTCAGTCCTCTACAAATAGTTTCTTATGACTTTTAATGTAAAATAATTAGGGAACTAGGAATTCAACAATTCAGAATTTCCCATTGAATTTCCTATGGCTCGCTTGTATACACCACCCTGTATACAAACCCATTTTTAATTATAAAATAAAACAACGATACTATAAAAAATAGGATAGTGTATTCGAATCTGAGAAGTCTTACAGTTTAAAGTTGTTAAACTCACTTGTAGCCCGATAAACTAACACAAAAGATTGCCTAAACCTAAAAAAAAAATAAATCAAGGATAAAAATTTGGGAATAAACAGTTAAGAGTGTTTATTATTAAAAAAATTACAATCTTAAAATAACTCTATTTTAAAAATGTTTTCCAAATGGAGGTACTGAAGGTATGTTTTACAAAATGGTTTTTATAGTTTTAATAGTTTCTAAAGTACAGCTCTTTTTTAAATTTATAGAAATTTATAAAAAAATTATTTTCTTTTAAATATATAAACAGATAATATGAAAAAGAAACAATTATTTTTCGCAATAAAAAATTATTTCTTTCAAATAAGATATAAAAAATTACTACTACTTACTACTGAAAAATAGAACTACCAACCTTTACAATTGCTATATCATAATCCAAAGCAGTCTTTGGCCGGTTAAATTTCTCGTGTAGTTTAGGCTTTTTAAAATTTCTAAAAGTTTTGGCATGTCTCAAATCAGAAACTCCAACCACAGCATACCTGAAAATATATAATATTTTATAACTGCATTTAATATAAAGTAGAATATATAAGAAGTAAACATATATATATATATATTATATCATATATATATATTATATATATATATATATATATATATATATATATATTATATATAAAGGGCATACAACTGCCGTACACAACCCTTTGGCCAAATTCCAAAATAAATGGGTGCCCCAATGGGCTCCCCTCTATCTCCAGTTGCCAATATCTTTATGGAAGACTTCGAGACCCGAGCACTATCCACATAAATGCTCAAGCCCACATGTTGGCTACGATTATGTTGAAGATACATTCGTCAATTGGCCCCATGGCAGGAATGCTTTAGTATCTTTTCAAACTCATCTGCATGGTATACATCGTAGTATCCAGTTCACGATGGAGATGTAAACTGATTCATCCCTACCGTTTCTTGATGTTTTCATCAAGAAAAACCAATCCCAAGGTTTCCATTACTCTGTTTATCGAAAACCCACACATACCAATCGTTATTTGCATGCCAACTCTCACCATCCACCTTCACAAATTAATTCAGTCATTAATACCCTTGTCTCTAGATCAATGCGCCTTTCCGATGATACAAGTAGACCCGCTGAGCTCTCTTGTTTAAAACAAGCCCTAATCCAAAACGGTTATCGCGAAAATCACATCAATAGAAGCATTCACAGACATCAATCTTCCACTCATTCTTAACTCAAAGACTCAGACACTTATCATACGAAAGCTTTTCTTTCTTATATTAAAGGTGTCACTGACAAAATCGACAGAATTCTGAAACCAAGAGAAATAAAAAACAATATCTACTCCCCAACAAAAACTTTCATCTCTTGTCCGATCTATCAAAGACAATATTTCAAATGAACAACACGGAGTTTTATGAAATACCTTGTGCAAACTGCCCCCGATCCTATATAGGCTAAACAAATCGTAGACTCCAAAATAGGATTTATGAACATTCCATTTCTGTTCGTAATTCTGATTCAATTTCAGCTCTCGGTCAACACCATCTTCATACAGGTCATAAAATTGATTTTGAAAACTCTAGAACCATAGCCCTCATCCTTTTCTATAAACCAAGAATTAACCGAGAAGCCATAGAAATAGAAAAAAGGCCAAGTTGTCTTAATAAAAGAGATGACGCCATACGGTTACCTTCTACATGAAGACCTCTCATAAAGAAAATATCGCACCCTCCATCCTCGAATCAAAATTCCACAGTCGGAAATGTTCGCGCCAACTCTGGCGCCAACCCCAGCGCCAACTCTCGTGCCAACCCCCACCCCAACCCCCACCTAGGCCACGCAATCATCGACGGTATAAATGAACCGTCTCCTCTTACCAGCCGTATATATATATATTATATATATATATATATATATATATATATATATATATATATATATATATATATCTGTGGCTTGGTACAAGAAGTGCCTAAGTCACTTTTTTTCGCTTTTGACATTTTTGGTCTAAGTGTCTTAAAAAACCACGACGGTTTCAGTGAAAGAGATGCCTAAGTCCATCTAGCCTTAAAAATCACATTTTCATAAATTTAATAAATACCTATCTCTCAAAGTCTCTTTTAAAATTAGTACTAGAAATACCTATGTAGACATAGGTTTTCTGGTTTTAAACTGAAAATTTGTACAAGAAATGCATAAGTCGACTTAGGTATTATTGAGATTTAAATTTTTAATGTCAGAACTGCCTATGTCGTAACAATCACTTCTTGGTTTTTGCAGCGGCAACGTCGCAATGTTTGCTTAAGGGTTATTCCGGTTATTTTATATTTGAGATTTGTGTACCTAGACCTAGTCTATGTCTAATTTGAAGATAATAAATTTGTGGTCGATTTGATCTTAGTTTTTGAAGTTGATTTGAAGTTATTTTTGTGACTAAATAAAGTTCGGTATTAAAAATTGAAATAGACAAGAAGTGTACAAAATGTATTCACGGGGAAAAACTTTAGTGCAAATGTGTATAAGGAATTCTGATAAGGGTAAGTTGATACCAAGTACCTATGTT